AGCCACTTTAAAAGTTGCCCCTTATTTAATAATTCTGTCGCAGTTATTTTTCCTCTTATCACCATTTATTCTCATTCTGGGGCCGGGCTGTAATAACAGAGGAGGTTTATTTCTGCTCCCCCTCCTCTTCCCAATGTCTAGTCTTGCTGCGTGGGTTTAATTTCTGCCTTGTGAAAAGACATTAGGATAAATAAGACAAGGATGCAGTGCTACAGAGGTCTGCGTTAATGGGACCACACTGCACACACCCCTTCCACGACCCTCCCTTTCCCCTATGAAAGGGGTGTACCAAATAGATGAAATTCCTATTTCGCTTCTGCCTGTACCTGTAGGTATCAATCAATCAGATGTGGGACAAGAAATTGCGGCGCAGCTCTTTCCTTCAAGGCAGAGCCGTGCAGAAGCAGGAGCCCCGAGGAAGTGCCGGCGTGGTTTGGGAGCACCATGTCCCCTCTAGTGGGGTCTGCGCAGAAGTGATGACGGTGCTGGCACGGAGATATCGGGGTGGTGAGGATGCACGGCCCCAGCTGGGAGCTGGCATGCGCTGAAGGAGCCAGGGGAAAGGCTTTTGTAATCATTTGCCTATTAATTAAAGATGGGACTCAATGAGAGGGCGGATTCATTCACCTGGCTGGATTTTCATGTTTCCAGATATTGCCAGGAAAAAAAAATAAATGCAGCTTCTCACTAACCCTTCAGCATTTTAGTAAAAACTATTTTTAGATCCCTTTAAAAACAAATTATAGCCATTCTACAACCGGCAAACACTGCTGTGTGGTTAATAATTGTTGTCCCCCAAACTATTGCTGAGATCTGCCAATATTTAAAAAAATAAAATAGTTTATGCAAGGTTTTGGTGACAACTGTCTCTGTGGCACACCTGAATTCTTGTTTTCTATGGACAAGGCATGACCCTAACTCACGGTAGGTACCGGCCCAGGCTTTCGCTGGCAGGAGCCAGGGCAGGTGCCGCACAGCCTGGGAGCTGCATCGGGGCGATGCACAAAGCCCCAGCGTGGCCCCATCCCACCTGCCCAGAGCAGCCGCCGGCACGGGGGCTGAAGCACAGAGGATCTCCATGAAGGAAAGCACAAGGATTTGTGGCCGGGGAGAGGTGTTCCTGACCAGGGGACCTGCTGCACCGCCAAGCCTCTTGCAGGGAGCCGAGAGGGGCTGAAAGCTGGGCAGGACCCAGTGCGGGGGGCTGAGCCGACTGGCAGGTTATTGCCTCGGTTTCCTCTGCGCCTTACCTGCACCTGCTATTACCCTGCAAAGTTTCTTTGCAGAAACAGCCGCGTATTCCTGAAGGCTTCAGCTGCGAGCAGGCTAACCGCTGGTGGAGCGTTTGGACAAAGGTGTTTGAGATGCCCAAGAGGCTCAAAGGTTCCACTGGACAGCTCAAGGCAGCCAGGCACAGGGAATTAAATTGTGAGTCGGGGGCGTGCAACAAGCAGCGACGACAGTGGCGCAGTGTTCAGGGCCTGCAAGCCTGGAAAGAAGCCAGAGCCATGGGCTGGATGGGGCTCACCATCCCACCGCTCTCAGGGATCACCGTGTGCTGGGCCTTCTCCCCCCATGCATGACCCCACTACCCGAGTCTTCCTTCCACCCGCACGCTCTTGCTCAGAGGAGTGCTTGCAGAACGGTTATCTTCCTTAACCTTATATCTAGCAAAGCATTTACTGGGAGCATGCGTGAGGCAAAACTGGCCACCAGTCTGTGGTCAAACGCAGGGGCTCGGCGTCCAGCAGGACGAGCCGAAGGAGATCGAGCTCGTGAACCCCGGGTAAATGTGAGAGATAATGCCCTTTCCAGGGGGGAGTCTAGCTGGGGGGGTTTGCAACCACTGAGCCGTTCAGCCTCCCTTTTAGGTTTGAGCTCTGAGTGAACGCCAACGCCTTTCAATAAAGTCAAAGCAGAAAGGCTGCTGGGTATGGGGCAAGCACTTAAACATCATGGGGCTACAAAGGAAGCAATAGCCTCACCTTGCTCCACATACAGCCCCAGTCATTTACACATCAAATCGGTGAATGCAGGACTGCAGAAATGGACCCGCAGATATACGGAGACTCTGCTTTTGCAGGAGTTCATTTTCAAAGCACATCTACTTCTTAGCATACGTTTAGGGTCACGCTCCACCTCACAGCCCTCACCCCGCTTTCCAAAACAAGCCATTTCAGCTTGCTACCTTTCCTCTGCAAGTGAAGCATAAAATACGAGTCAACACCTAACTTTTAGTGTTGGCACCACTTTCATCTCACTGCTAATTACTACCGCAAATTATGTACCTGTCCAAAAAAATGTCTAAATTCCAGTGCAGTACGTTCCTGCTACTTGTGTTTCTTATTTTTAAAATATACGTGACAAATACTTCCATGTTCTATATCGCTACATTCTACTGACTGCCTCCAAATCTTAAAAGTTGGATCTTCCTGTGATCAAAATGCAATGAGGCAAAATGGAACATAGGCAAGGCCCTCCACTCTCTCTTGTAAAAGTGGATTTACGATCTTTAGTGACAAGTCATCTGGTACTTCTTGACTTTTCATCTTACCTCTAGCGGTCTGGTGTCCCCCCCTACCTCATGCTTTGCCATCAGCTCATTTTTGGACTTGTGAGAATAGTTTCTTGTGGTTTCTTGAGTACTGCAGGAGGCAGCCATTCTTTAAAGCTTTCCCATCCGAGTACCGGTCTGAGGCAACCGTGTCCAGCTGTGAAATAGCACTTGCATGCAGAGGCCAAACTTTAATCAAAGTAGGGTTACCAAAACTTTACAGTGCCCCATGATCTGAGCTTGCCTGATGGTATTGCCTCTAGCTGGTGCAGCAGTTATTGTGGGGCAGCCCTAGCTAAGCCCAAATAAAACCGAGCAGAAGGGAGCTTGGAGATGTAAACAGCAAACGCCGGCTCACTGCCTACCTCCAGCACCCAGAGGGAAAGATATGGCTAAGACAAAGATTTCAGGGAGGCAACGAGGAATTGATGAGACGAGAAGATGCTTCAGTTTAGCACTTAACTGGGTTACACATGCTGGCCGCCTGGGGCTTTGTCATCTCCAGCAGGTGGCTTCGGTGCCAGCCCAGAACTTCTCACTCGTCCCAGGCACCTCAGCCAGGTTCTTCTCCCTCCTGGTTTGCCAGCCCTCACTCTCTCTCTGCTCTCAGCACCCCTGAGCCTTTCCCCCACCATTTCCCTTACCCCCACCCAGAGCCGAACCATCTCTTTAAGCAAACGTTCACGTCTCCCCGCTCCTCAGCTGAATTTTGCCCTTTTCAGCTGCATCATTCATTTCCAGCTCTTACTGTTCCTTGTGGTGCCTGTTATCATTCCAGTTATGTACCTCTGCTCTGCCCACTGGTCCATCCATCACCTCTGCCTGAAAACCTGAAGTCTCCAACCATTTTCATCTGCTGCCACTACTACCAGAAAGCTGTTGCTGCACACAATCGTGCCCTGATCTCAGCTCACCAGTCCCCGCTAAAAGGTGTCTCTCTCCAGTTATCTTTAGTGGCTCACCCTTTGACAAGTTTCACTTGTGTTTGCTACAAAACAAATCCCCATATGAAGCCATCTGGCAACGAGGATGAGCTGCCATGCTTAAACATCGCGGGATGGGCTGACGGTGAACTGGCCAACGCGATGGAACCCAATGAAATGGCAGATAGTTGGAGCCCTAAGAAATTAGCCATTTAAACAGCACTTGACTAGTAGCCTTAGGCTTCTGGAGGCTCCCATTTTAATGAAGGCTAGCAAAATAGGCAATCCTGAATATGTCTGCCCATACACTGATTCCAGATGGCTTTATTGTATTTAACCTTGTCCTAGTCCCAGACAAATAGCTGAGTAACTGTGGTCTGGAAGGGCTGGGAATGTGAGGAACCACAGTGGACCACGGGGAGAGTTTCAGACAGAGACTGTCACATCGGTTCAGCTTGAACTGTTGTAGCAACCTTAAAAAGATAAGGTTTAAAATGAAATGCCAGCATTGGTTTAATTCGAGTGAAACCAGATGAGGGCATTTCTCCTGTTTGGACCCATTTTTTCCAAGCTCAACGCCTACGACTTCACGTTCTCCATTTCCATTTTGCAATCAGATACAAATGGGGACTTTTTTTGTGATGGTTGTGAATGTTTTATTATAGAGTCTTATCAATAAATTACTTCTCTGAAAATCAGTTTTTCAGAAGTAAAATCTAATCTGGCAGGGTTCAATAAGTAACAAGATTAACTCAGCCATGCAAACAAAATATTACTAAGTTACTTTAATAAAATTTTATCGCAACAACCTCAGGAAGAAGAGCGTGTCCTGGAGACTTAGACAGTTAATCTTGGATTTTATTAATATTTTGGATTCTTTTTGTTATGCCCTGGCCTCTGGTACAAAGCCATCTTCATTCTGATGCTAGAACGGGATGGATCTTTGGGTGCATTTATGCCTGCGATTCTTGCATTATTTTATAGCGCTGTAATAAAAATAGCACCGTCAGTGTTCAGTGCTCGCCGCAGTACATTTAAGCAACTGGCCACTGCACTGAAACGGGGATTTCTGGAAAACCCAAGCTTATTCCTAGACAGTGATTACTCACAAAAGGTCTAGCTCCCAAGTCTTTCCAGTACGTGCCATTCATTTTCTGTTCAGCATCTCTTAGGACGTTTATTAAAGTAACTTTATTGGGTTATGTTGCACACAACAGGATATTTAAAATTCCATCTTGACCTTGACAGCAGTATCTAATGCTGCCTGGAAGATAACCAACAAACATTTTCTTTGTATATACAATCAGCATTCTGAGCTTGCAGCTACTTGTTGACAAATGCTTACCAGTTTCAGTTAAGTACAAGAAAGTCTAAGAACATTGAGACATTTGAAAATAAGCATTACCATATTTTTGATGTATTTTGGATGGTTTAGCTCAACTTACTAATTATTCTTGATTTCCAGGGCTTAATTACACACAATTTTTACAAAAGCAACATCATGTCTTAACATTAATCAAACATAACATTTAAGATTTTTTTTTATTGTGCAAAACTTAAGCAGTAAGTCTTATTAGTACAATAAACTGAATAAGCAAGGGATATTTAAAAGAATATTCACATTCAGTGTGCAATTTTTATCCCTACTTCCATCTTTTGATGTGAAATCTAGAATTCCCATCAGTAAGTGCTATCTGAAAATACCACTAGTTAGTTTTTTTCACCTTCTGTTATTTGGAGGAGACTCAGAACATATTTTTGCATTGGGTTTTTACACACAATTAAAACGGCTGTTTAAGTTGATAAATACAAATTAGACACTGAAAGGGGGTGAAAAAATACATAGTGAAGGCATCCACCTAAATGGTGGCATGACTGGTAATTTATAGCTTATATTAAAAAATACAGTTGGTATTCTGATTTTCCATTTTGAACTCAAGATTTTAGCAAATAACCCAAAATATTGTTTAAAAATTCCATCATCTGCTAATTGAAAAAGTGATTTAATTCAATAATTAATTTTAATTAAAATCTTTAGCTTGTTACATATTAAGTGCCATCAGTCAAGGCAGTCACAAAGACTGTTTGATGTTTACATAGCACCGTACAGATAAATGTCTCCTTCAGAAAGAGAGAGATTATGTTTGGCTGGGAACACAATCAGAGTATTTCCTGAATATTTTAGGTATCTTTGCCTTCCACATCATAAATATGTGCAACAATTCCTTAATTTGAGAACAAAATGCACAGAATTCCACTCAAGCTTTAAGACGGTGCTATCATTAATTCAAATTCTCCATGTATAAAAGTATCAAGAACTCTTCAGTAGTCAATTTAATATTCAAAAGCAGATCAATAGTTTTATGTAAACTTGCTAAAAAACAAACCACCACATAATTTGGCTTTAAAGTGACAAAGTATTTTGTTTAATATAATTTACTAAGCATGTGAAGCACTAACATCAAACTACGATTTCAAAAAGATGCAGAGACTGGATTATCTCTGATACTGAAATACTCAATTAAAATACATAATTATATAAAGAACCTCCAAGAAATATAATTATAATTTGTTACAGTGGTATTGTTTATTCCAGTAATAATCCTTCCTATAAGGAGGCTGCATGTTAACTAAAATACACTAACCCACTGTAGTTCTCAATTAGAGAACATCAATGTTCTTCCTCTGCCTCTCCTCCACCCCAAATTTAGTAAAAAGTGGACTAGGTTTTCTACCTGAAGAAAAAGGGAATTATGCCCACTATCCAGATGGCCATTCCCTAGCCCTAATCAAAATTTTGTCAACTTATCTACAATTGTTAGGGGTTTCGGCTAGTAACAAATCTTGCAGTAAAGTGTTAAAAATAGATGGAGTAACTAACAAGCCATCTTCTGCATTTTAAATCACTGAAATCTACATATCAAAATATTTATGGAAGCATGAGTGCTGGTGACATCATTGACTCTTACAAACTGAGCCTTCTGTAAAAGTTGCACAGATGGAAAAAGATGCCTTGAGATCAATGGAAATAAGATCCAACAGAAGAAAGATTTCCTGGTATAGAGCCCCAATTCGTTACACCCTTACACACAAACTTCAGTGATAGATACCGCTCATTATTTTGACCCTGTTCCTTCCCAAAATCAGCTTTGTAAGCTGTTATCACTCCAATTAAAAAAAAAAATACACCTTCTTAAAATATTGTCTATGGAGTTCTGGATTCCAAAACCAAAATGTATAAGCAATTTCATAGTCTTGCTATGAAACATCAATTAAAAAATATGAAAGTTTATAGAGAAACCAAATTGCGTTTTGAACATTGTGAATCCATATTGATACAGTTCTCTGTGTTAGTGGAGAATTCAGCATCTTTTATAAGTTCAACATGTGCAAAATTCAATTACATTTTGAAGAAAATTCCAGTTTAAAAAGCTATATGTAATTTCATATATGACAGGCCAATAAGCTAAAGACCAATCTCAAACAAAGCTGTACAAAGTTTGCTTCAAATCTCCCTATACCTCCCCCAAAAGGCACTAAGTGGTTTAAGTGTGCAAATGGCTTCTTAGAAGAAACAGTGTGCAAACAAAGCCCGTTCCATCGGCTCCGCATTCTTCAGTGATTTCCTAGAGAGTATTGCTATTAAATGTTATCTATGGCATGACTTTCTAAAGAACAGAAGACAGTTAGTCCACAGAATCACAGATATCCTTCACTTTCTGATTGAAGTCTTCGGGTTGATCAGCATACACGTAATGACCTGCGCCAAGGATCGCCTGGAGGATAAAGGTGAAGAAACAGGTCAAACCCACGAGAATGTAATAAACAAATAAATAAGTACTGGGATATGCCAAGAACCTGAGTTTTACACATTACCTACTCAATGCATTATTACTTAAAAAGACAAATTTCAAAACTGGAACTGATCTCCTTTGCACCCAGCCTGTGTTAATGCAGTTAGCACAACTGCAGCAGGGAGGAATGTACAGCCTAGTAAGGACCGTAAACCTAAGGAAAAACAAAAGCTGTTTCACTTGTTGAAGGAACTTTGGTACACAGGAAAACAAGGGTGAAACTACTGCTTATTCAGCTGCACACCCTGTTGAAAAACACCCACCACTCAAGCGGACACAAGTCACCGCAAAACAAACTTAGGAGAACGTGCTTTACGTATCAAGCTTCTGATTCATCTTCATCCCCTTTGTTCTCCACTCAAATAGTTCTGCCAGGTTGCTCTTTGGTTCTCTAAGTGTTTGCATTAGAGAGACCATCAAATCATTTGCGTTCCTTATCATAAAAATGATATGGAAGAGACTAAAGAAGGTACTAGGATAAGTTATTAAGAACTCAGAAGCTTAAATTGCTGGGGATTTTCAAGACTTGTGAAAGCAGATTTCAGCCCTCCGAATTAACGATTACTGTGTTAAGCAGGGACAAGTAAAATCCAAATGATGCAATATATGGGGAGGAAACTCCACATTTGTGACCTAGATTATTTCACAGTAACTATGTTTAGTTAATGGCTTAAGTAACCACAGACAGGGTGGTTACCCCCTTTCTATAATTCATCATTCTCTGCCAAAACTGGCATGAAGCAATTCATCACCATAGTCTACAGCAAAGGTACCAGGCCTATTTTCTTTCTGTTGTATAATTGGTCCAAGATTAATTTGTATTTAAATGTATTTTTCCCCTCCCGCCATGAAAACACTCCCTCTTAAGTCTCTAATTCAAGCTGATAAAAGTATAGCTCTATTATTGGGTTAAAAACCCCCAGAAACTCAAAGTAAAAATTAATTAGAAGTAAACAAACATCATAAAACCCCAGAACCTGTGTGCATTTTACCAAGGATGGCACTGCCAGTCCATGTCTCAGCTTCATGAGAACATTTTCCTTCCTATGGTTTTTTGAATGTCCCTGTAACTTCTGCCACTCCAATTTACTTTTTAGAATGCGTATTTGGCTTGACAAAATTTTAACCTGGAATACAATAAAGTTTTCTACAGTCCCTTCTCAAAGCCCTTGACCAGACTGGAAAAACCTGCCTGAGTGGTATATGCTTACCCTAGCAATCTGTTGGACACTTCTTAACAGTGACTTTTCATTACAACTTTCTCTCTGGTTAAGCAGTTAAGTGACACTTTCAGTCTGGATGTCAACATTTATGAAACATATTTGTGCTCTTTAACATATGTAAACAGTTCAATAACAATGTCTTTTCTCTGAGTTCCAGCCCTGATGTCAGCTATATCAAGATGATAAAAATTTTATTTGAATGACTTGTCATAGTATGCCATCGACATCCCATATTGTACACTTCTGTCCAGATAGATCTAGACATCAGTAGGACGACAGCTGGCTTATTCAAACATTTTATCACCTCATAGCATTGTAACATATATGCATATTCAATTATCACGCTTGACTGATGTGACAATGCGTGAAGAATACTTTTAAATTCGTTTGTTTTTATAGAAATCCAACAAAAAATGTAATGTGCACATTTGCATCAAGTTGCAAGTATGCACATTTCAAACGATAATGCCATGCCTCTAAACAAGAATGTATTAGCTAGGACGACAACACTAAGTATTTTTTTAATGACTTAAAGACGCTTACAAGAACCTAAGCACCAGGTACAAACCACCCTCTTATTAGAGAAACAAAAGCATTATACAGACAGATTAAAACAGTTTATGAAAGCCTCCTCACTATGTCATATATATTTATACAGACATTAGGACTGCTGTGGTTTAAAACACAGACAAAACCCCAGATACTTAGCAGTGACCACAATAACTACTTGTATTAGCACACGGTAGTGCAAAATATTTTGTAGAGCAGAAGCATGACCTTGCTCAAAGATCTAATTCAGCTTCTAGTGCTACAGTAAGTTTCCTTCTTACTCTGGGAACTCAATACTCTTTTGTGTAGGCTTCCTCTGATCTAACACTAGTTTTCTCTCTCTCTGTTACAGAAATCAGAAGGTTATTACCCCAGGCTTTAAATCAAAGGGCCAGCATTTCCAAAGTTGGTATAAAAAACCATAGATATGATTTAAACAAATCCACGCAATAAACAAACAACCGCTTTAGAAGTCAACTTACTATCGTCTTCACATATGAATTTGGTCTCAGAGACTGGATAGTGCTGCCAGAATTGCCATCTATACATGAACGTGCTCCATAGACCACAGTGATAGGAATGTCTTGATCCATTTGTGGAATCCGTTGCAGCATCGGCCTTTTTGCCCATCCGTAAGGAATAGTCATGTTCTTGAAAGCTGTTTCACCACTTCAAGTCAAAAAATTAAAAAATTAAGTTTCCATTGGATCTGCTTTTGTGCCTTTTGGTAGCACAGAGTGCAACAGTACATGAGGCTGGGATTTTTTACTATAAAGAAATTAAAGGTTTGCATGTAATTTTCAACAGGAAGAGCCTATGTTTTTACAGTACTGAGTGACAACACTTAGAAGAAGGACATGCCTTATTTTTAAAACATTTTAAACAAATTCTTTACACTCTAACGATTTTTAAATTAAAAATCAGTGCCCAAACTCTCTCAGAATTAACACACAGGTAGCTTAGAAGAAATACAGAATTAGGATAGCTTTTACGTTTGCCAGTTTCTAGAATTCAGAAAAAGTGCAATGCTACTTTTTTCTTCAATTAATACAATAAGTATTAATTTTTTTTTTTTTTTTAAATCAGGCACACTGTTGCCATAGCCATTGGAGTGAGTAGCAGGCTCTCAGTAAATGAAAGACAGACTTCAAAACGTACACTGGGAAACCCATACTCACCTGGGTGACTGTACATTGCAGTGATAGATATATTCAGCCACAGTGTTATCATCAAACATCGACGAATATTTTCGCTTGAAATCTGGTCTTAAACGCTGAACAAGGCTTAATCCTGTTAAAACAGAAAAGACTATTAGAGGAGGAATTAGTATAGACAATTTTATCAGATTGCCTAGCTCTCTTCATTACAACTCTCCAAACACATTCCCTTGAAACTCGTGGCTAAGCCTGATGACTTCTAAACGAGTGTTTTGTTTCGTCACTTGCATGTCTTAGGAAAACACAATGGCATTACACCAAACAGGAATGAAACATAAATATTCTGAAGGATCTTATTCTGCACCAGAAGAGGGGCAATTCAATCCCTGCTGAATACATATAGGGAATGTTTGAGAAAGGCCACTGCAGCGACAGCAGAAACATGCAAAGGGGACCAGAAAAAGGTCTAAGCAGAGTACCTTTTTGCCACCAGTTTATAGTCTCACATGATACCAACTCACTTTTTCTTACTCTGGCAGCACCAGGTGGGCCAAAAGCACTCCGCCTTTCAGAACCAGAAGGCACTGCTGAAAAGCTGGGCTGTTTTTCTTCCTTAGATACAAGTCTGTGCTCTGCTTTTACAGAACAGTTGTCTTCTGAAGCTAGTCCATCTACCTAGCGTTTAGCTGAAAGAACAGAAGCCTATGCTGAAAAACAGGCGTAGAAATCTTGACACGAGTATTGGACACAAGAACTGGTAAAAAAGGAGAGATTTAACTTGGTACTGTCCCCGTGCTCTCTTAACAGCCAAAGTAGAGAAGTGGGTCCCTTCAGGGGCCAGTTCAGGCTTTCTAAGGTTAAGCTCCTATTTTGAATCGCTTCTTTAAGGAAGAAGCCTATTCTAGTTGACCAGACGGATCTTTGGGACAAGAGCCTCACCAAAGGCTAATCTTAGTCTAAGAATATTATTCATCCCTGAAGAGACAGACTCACAGTTTACCACTTGGGTCAATCAACTGAAAATACTGTTGTTAATCTGTGCAATTATGATGATGTCACTTCTTCCCACCCATCCCTGGCCAAAGGCCTGGTACTATTTATGTAGACCTTGTCACAGTGATCTATGCTTTTGTAACCTTGAGATGAGACTATTGCAACACACCCATATGTATGCTTTAAATCAATTTAGAAAACTAATACAGTGCAAGAGAAAATAATGCCCTTATGAAACAGTGATTTAAGTCTTGAAGTGATGAAGATTTTGCAAACATTCTGCAATTTGCTCTGCTGCTTCTATTTTCTCTATAGAGAGTTCAATTGCTGGACTTCTGTCTTTTTCGGCCTGTCTGTTTGGGGTTTTTTTGAACAAAAATGATAGAGCTGTCTTGGAATAAGAGTACCTGGAAGAAAGAGACTAATTCTGTGTCTTCCCCCGCTATTACCATAGAGGCCACAGCATCCCCATTTCCAATAACTAGGGGACAGAAAGGTACCGAATTTTAGAATTCACTTTCTGTTTTGATAAAAAGTGTTTTGTCTGTGGGTCGAATCACAAAACTGTTCTCCTTCCCTGTGAATTTACCAGGGAGAATGAAACAAGGAGTCAAGACACCTTGGAACAAATTTTGGAATGAAATCACACTGGTCAGTCTCGTAATGTTTATTGAAGGCACTGTCCATTGACTGGCTGATGTCTTCCACAGTGTCTATGGAAGTGCTGAAAGAAATACTAACACTGAAGACTCTTGAGTTCCACAAAAAATGTGCAGTCACAAGCGACATTACTGTGGTCCTGAGGAAATTTTAGGTGTTCAGCTCTAGGAATAGAATTCACAAATCCAATCTAAGCACCAAAACCCCTATACTGTGAGCCTCCTGGGTGACTGTTCCAGTTAAGTGAAGAAAAACACGCAAAGCAACTAACTGGAAACCACTCAAAGAAAAAGATCTCTCTGTATTCTGTCTCTCTTCCAGGTTTAAGTATCTGCCTGCAGGTCTGATTAAATATCCATGTGATACCGTTGTGATATCCCAAGTGCCTAACTCATATCTTTGAACGAGAGCAATTGGCTTTATAGTGAGGATCAGACAGCTACACCTGCCCAGCAGCTTAAGCACACGTGCATGCAGAAGGAAACCTGGGTTTGGTTCAGTGCCTTCATCAGGTCGGGTTTGATGCCTACCTCACAGCACGTCTTTAAACTTACCCTTCTCTAAGAACTGTGCTTCACGTGTCAAGAATTGCACGTGAAGCTGATGACTAAAATTTTTTTTAACATGTGGAGTGAGAAATGGATGAAAAATTTTGAAAAGCACTGCCCTCCACAGCAACCTATAAGCGAGGCTAGGTTGGGGTATCTTGCCAAGACAGGGTCTGTCTCTGCAGCATAGTTTTGACTGCGCTTACTTGCTAAGGGAGACAACTTCAGCTTTGAACTCTTCCACATGAATTGATTTATGCATGCAATTGTTATTGGATAAAAGGCATTAAATCAGTGCTTTTCACTCAATATGCTTCAGGTTGTTTTGTTAACCGAATTAGCATTTTACTTCAAAAAAAAAAAACAACCAAACAAAAAACTGTTTGTACAAAACTTGTTGCTGGTCTGAAAAGCTAATTTTATCACACTCCTGAAAACAATCAAATAGCTCAGCATATTAAAATATACATTCTGTAGAAAGAGATTTAGGAAACAGATGTGGTTTAAATGTAAACAAAGCCTAGAACTGTCACTAGTTTATCCTCAGAGTGAATACTAAAAATGATGAACACGTGAGTTAATTGTAACTTGTGAAGGGCCCAGAGGATATCTTTTTCCAAGCCTCTCCAGCAGATGCTCCTGTAGCACAGAGAGTAATAGATGGATAACCTCTTTCCCCTCTAGAAGAAATACATATGATGAATTTAAGCTTTGATCACACCCTTTTCCCCACATAAACTAAACCCATAGTATTTTTGGTCATCCCTACCTAGTCCTAGCATTAGGGTGTATAGAGTTTACCTAACAACTCATCGGTGCTGTTGAAGAAACTTAGAAATATGAAGAACAGACTGCCACTGTAATGCAGGACACCAGCAATAAAATTTGCTAGAGTAATAAGAAAATAGCTAATGGAAAGAACCCAGTTTCAATTTAACTGCTCTGAACTCAGGCCAAAGACAAATGAGTTTATGAGAGACTGCCTTCTAATGTTAACCAAATCTGGAAATCCTGTTTGTCCATCAAAATGCAGTTGCAAGGGAAACTAAATGGACTGCGACTGAAGGCAACCCGAAAAAAAACACCTTTTCACATTCATGCTTCTTTGTCAGGCTTCCCCAACAGATATCCATGTAATGTGACTCACTATAACTGTAGCCTACGATAATACAATGTAGGTTGCTATAAACTATTGCACTAGTATTTCTAATAGAAAGGGCTTGCCTTCCTGTCCTCAAGAGTTTACCTTTCCTCAACCCCTCCCACTTTCTCCTCCAACTCTTTTCTCTGTGGGCGATATGGGCTTGCAACAAAACTTCTTAATGTGGTATCTGCCCCATGTTTATGTTTAGCATAAACAGAAACGGTATTTAAGAGTAGCTAAAACTCACCAAAGGGTCCTGCTATCCTCAGCCCAGCTAATGGGTTAAATGGACTCAGTACAGCTCCTAGTGCTTTGATCCAGATTGGAATTGGTCTTTCGTGTTCAGCATTGTCAGGCCTCTCTGGAAAACCCCATGGCTCCACTAAGATAAGATGTTTGACCCTGTTGGCAAAAAAAGTTCAGAGTACATTAATTTTTCTTCGACTGAGTATGACAGAAACGTGCTATCTGTGGACTATGAAACCTGTTTTAGTCACTTCTATCATAGTGGCTTATTATCTACTTCCTGAGTCATCAATGGGTTTGCTTTCAGTTGCTAATTAAGAGGGAGACTGCATTGCAACTAATCATATGTATGAACACCAGAAACTTGGGAGCTTATGTCACGTTCAGTAGACAGTCACTGTCATAAGCATTTGAGAAAAAGGCCAGCCTTGTTTCTGTTTTTAAAAATAGCCTGATCTATATGCTCAGTCAATATTATTTGCAGGAGCAGTTTAACTTGAGAGAAAAGTAGATAACTGTATTTGTTTCATTTAAGTATACTTGCTAAAAGCCTTTCTTTTCCAAGCCCTCTAAGATCTCTTTTCTAAGAAGAGATACAATTTATCTGAAAAACCATCTTATCAAAGTAAAATTTGAACTGAGAGAGGCAGGGCAAAATTAACAGATGTTTTCTAGATTTATTGATTTTAGGTCATTAAAGAAACATCAGAGAGCAAATTTATGAAATTATTACTCAAAGGACTCTCAGTACAGACAGCATAGTAGGAGTCTCCAACACATGCAACTATCAATCACTTCACGCTGCGAGTCCCCCTCAAGCAAAAAATCTATTTCATCTTGGTAGATTGGAATCATCCATTTCTGTTTAATCCCATAATAACACCTACTCTAACTGTCCTAGATACTGCCGATTTCTGAAAAACTGACTCTTAACTATAGCTTTGCATATTTAAGGTGATTTTCCATGCAAGCTTCATCATCTTTACTTTCTTCTTCATGACTTCCTTCTCTTTCAAAGCCATGAGATTAGATATTTAATACAGCAAAGTTCTGAGTGCCTAAAACAATGTCAGAAGTGATTCCAAAGGCTATTTCTGGACTATATTCAGTTAGGAAACCAAAAATCTGCTTGAAACGAGGGGCTGGAGAGGATTTACCTCACAAAGATGTTTCTTGGCTGTCAGCTCAGCCACAAGCATATTTGCACACAGCAGCAAACATGAATGGTAAGAGAGGGCAGGGTAGAATTTAACGATACAAACCAAGCAGGAGAGACTAGAGGCTAAGGAGTTCAAGCAATGAGGAGCCATCCAGGACAGCCACACATTCTGTGCACAAGCTATGGCATTAAACATAACACAGCAAACACACGAATAAAAATAGAGTAAGCTTTTTTCCATGTTTCCTTTCTTAATACTTTCCTTCCCATTTGGCATTTCTCCTTTTGGTAATCAAGCCCAAAACGTAACCCAGGATAATGGGAAGTCGACCGTGAGAATCATTCCAAAAGTAGTAGCCCAGAAGTTGCAGTATTTGAAAATCATGACCCACCACCACCCGGAAATATTCTAAATGGGAATCTTTTTGGATTAGTAACCTCAGATGTCCCATGAACAACTTTGGTACAACATAGTAAATTAACGGATCATCTAAGCTCGGAGAAGCAGATCTACTTTCCTAACAATATGTACCCAGAATCCCTTAAGCCTCTAATGCATTGTTAGATAATCCGGCTGAAAGCTGTGCTATATTTATCACTTGATTCAATGCTATCTTAAGATCCTACCAGGTGATTTGCTCATCTGAAGGTGTTTGTTTACTTTCAGAGAAACATTAGTGAGAGCACAAACTGAAACACCCCAAAAATTAGTTAACCCCAACTTAAGCACAGTCAGGCACGAAAACAAAGTGTCACTTTCGATTAAGTCAGCAGGGGGCAGAAACAATATCCCATCCCACAGGGATAGGGTAGCGCAAGGTATGGATACCTCAGGAAAAGGGGTAAGGAACTTACAAGCAAGCCCTACAAGAAACTAACTTCAGTCAACTAAAAGTTGTTTTATGCCCCAAAGGATAACAGGTTTACATCCCTGGAGCAGGGGACTGTATTTCTTCATTGCAGTTCTGGATTTAGACACACGCCTACTTTTGCACATCATTTCCAGCAGCACGTGCCAGCTGTCGTCCACTTGGAAAGAAAGAGGCAAAGTGTTTTAGGAAAAAATTATGTATGAATTGATTTCAAAATGTCCCAGTGAGAGACAAAGAAATGTATATGGTATAAATTGATGCGACCATAAAAGAGTAAGATATGTTTTATATAATATAGAATCTGCCATAAGATGTGGAAAGCTAAACGTTGATATTCAGAGTTTTCCACGGAAGTCCACTGTGTGTATCTAAACAAAAGCAATGTCCTCTTTTGATACAGAATGACCTCAGTTCATGGGATGCTGTATCAAAAAAGAGTAAAATTATTAGTTTAAGGGAAAAAAAATGGCTAAGCTGTTGGCCACAATGTGGTGCAGAAAATGCTGATGAAATACAATTACAGGACTGCTGCAGCTGGGTTGTTCTGCAAAGAAATATGAAGTGGCATATAGGCAATTTAAATCAAACAGTCACTAAAATCATCATGCTGGCACCAGGACGACTGCTAGCATATAGGCATAAACTACCTAGGGGAATTATGTTCAGAAGTTTCAATGTTACCCACAATAATGGGAAGTCTGGCAGAAACAGGCCTGTTTTCCCTTCACAAACCTATGTTTGATCAGAGATGTCACAGAACATTCACCTGTAAATATGATCTTTGCTATTTCGCCTTATAACACGGCAAGGGAGTATTGAACAAAACCAAAGAGGTACAGAAAAGCACACAGAAAAGCATGTTTACCATATCTACTTATTTCTGTCCACCTGGAAACAAACCATTCAGTTAATATTTTGGGTTCAAAATTCAGTATCAAGTTTCTTTAAATCAGCACAGCCATTTAAGTGAAGATAATCTGTAAAGAGCCTGATGAAATAAAATCTGTGTTAAAATCACTAGTCAAATACAGAAAAGGAATTCCTTCATTCCTTTATTTTCACATACCTTGATGGGTATTTTAATGAGTAAGCAGCAGCCAGGAATCCACCTAGGTTGTGTCCAAGTAAAATCATTTTTTCTAACCCCACCCCCTTTCTCCATTCTTCTATAGATTCCACAAACTGATTTTCTGCTTCCCGAGCATCAGTGTCAAAGTGTGGTCTACTGCTACGTCCAAATCCCAAGAGGTCGAAAGCATGAACGGTCCTGTTCTCACAGAGATCTTCAAAATTGAGAGCCCACAGTCCAACACCTCCTCCAAACCCGTGCAGGAGAACAAGCGGAGTTTTATGTGAAAGGTCCGGAGAGAATGTCAGTGTCCATATTTTATTTCCATTAGATAAATACACATATTGTTTATTGTATGTGCTTGCAATACCTGAAGGAAGAGGGGGAAAAAAAATGATGTTGCCAGACAAGCCTGATAAAATATGAAGTACATTCTATGGAAACCACAGTTTTAAATAGGAGCTCCCTTTCAAAGGAGAGAGCCTACAGTCAAATATCTAAATAAGGGAACAATGCAAACCTAATTCTAAACCTGTTCATCACAGTGTAAAAGCCATATTTAGAAACTTCTTTGATTACATTTAATGTTATAGACAATCATCTAGTTATATCTATAGATCTTATCAAAACCCAAAGACTTACATTTTAGCATTTTGCCCTCAGCCTCTTTAAGGTGCAGCAGTGATGTGGGACACCAGGCAGGAAGCCAGCTGAATAACCATCCTAACCTACAACAGCAATACAGAATAAAAATTTCTTGAGCAAGGTGGCAATTTTTTGCACCATTTGATGCTTTGAAGACATCTCTTTTGCTGCTCTTCATAAAAGAACCCATGTAAATTACAGGGCATGCAGGACAGGAGTGCATGGTGGGAGGGAGTTCGCTTTCTCCTGACTTTTATAACGTGGTGTCATGATCAGGGGGCGTTCTTCAAACAGCACGCCGTTCCTCCACTGCGCGTTCCGTGTCAGAGTGTACTGATCTGTCTCCGTCAGAGCAGGCTGCTTCTGAGAACCTGGAGACACCAGCCCTCAGGCCGACCCGACAAGCCTGGCAGGATATGTCACGCAATCACTGGGGTTTCCAGCCTCCTCTCAAGTTCCCTTGGAAGTCTGCCCGCACACACATTACCCTGCATGAAGCTACCGTTTCCAAAAAAGCAATAAACCGCGTGCTTGCCAGCCTAACCTGAACTGATTCATACGCTAAATAAATTTTAGAAAGTGAAGAATAAGCAGGTTTATTCTAGCAAAGCAAAAAAAAAAAACCCAAACAACCTAGGGCCTTCATTACCAACTTAGAAACAAAGTCCTGGAGGAAAACAAGACGGTGATTTCAATCCCCCCGACAGAAGATAAACCGCGTGCTTGCCAGCCTAACCTGAACTGATTCATACGCTAAATAAATTTTAGAAAGTGAAGAATAAGCAGGTTTATTCTAGCAAAGCAAAAAAAAAAAAAACCCAAACAACCTAGGGCCTTCATTACCAACTTAGAAACAAAGTCCTGGAGGAAAACAAGATGGTGATTTCAATCCCCCCGACAGAAGCTGCTTTTCCAGCTGCCAGTTGCTATCTTGGCAGTACCAGCTTGACCAGGAGAGCTGGGGGAGTGACTCAGCCAGCAGCACTGCCTCACCGATGGTGCTACAAAGGACACAGCAACTGGGTACAGCTCTTCCTGGGTGCTAGTTTATCCCGTTTTCAAGATGGAATCCTCTTCCCCCCTCCCTCCCTGTTTTTGAAGTGGCTCAGACTATCAGTTCAAAGGCTGCTACTGCAGGACCCCAGACCATTCCTCATAGGGAAGAAGATAAGGTCCCCAAATTCTCAATAAACTTCCTTCAGCGCTTTTTTCCCTACCCTGAACTGCTTTCCAGTTAGTTATAGTATTTTCAGGACTGAACGCTGTGAGTGTTACTGTACAACAATTAATGTTAAAAGACTATGAAGTTACCAATGCCAGATTTTTCAAAGTATGCACAACACATCAATAACAAATTACAGATTTGGCCCCCCAAGTTCTTTATCCAGAGGACCTTCTCCCCACCTTCTTAAGGGGCTGAGCTACTCCAGCTCCATTGCTACTGAAGTGTATGTTACAACATAGAAGGCTTTCTGGGGATGCACGATGCAATTGCAAGCAGCACGGCTCAGATTTACAGAAACATATTAGGGGATATCAAGAAAAAAACCAACCCAAAGCATACCTGATCAAAAAGGATTTATCATCCAATCACCCATGCCCACTGCTATTCAGTATTATTTACTCCTTTGAGAAACACACGGGTGTCTGGCTGTTCTGTAAATAACCCTCCCGAACCACCAGACCGTGGGAATCGTTACAACTGTGTATTGAGGGACTGGGAAGGGACAGTTCCATGTTCTTCCATGTCATGTCCTCACACAACCTAAGAAATGAAGGAACTCAGCATCTTACAGGAATGGGCATCCAAGTGATTTGTTTCCACATTAATCTATGCATTTACTTAAAAGTAAGATTTTTGAGAGGTTAAAGCTTGCACCAGCCAAAAGCAATTTCACCAGCAAGTAACTCTGAAATCTGAGCTTAACAATATCACTGATTGTGTCCAGTGTTATGAATTACTCTGGTAAATTATTAAACAGCAGCTATGTCACCACCCTTCTGAGCCAAACCTTCTGCTAACTACATGCTCAACAAGGCATTTTCATTCATAATTCTTAAGTCAGAAGCACAAAACCCAGTCACTATTTCCTCCAAGCCAAAACTATCTGAAATGTTTCTTCTTGGCAAAACCACTGATTCAGCAAAGAAATTTCTTTAAAGATTTTTTTTTTTACAGGAATGTACAGCTGCAACTTGTCAACAAGACAGTGCAGAGATAGGACCACAGTAAAATAAAAATTAAATCTACAGTTCACAGTCCCAGAAGTTTATTTCCCAGTCTCAGGAAGACACCTGGATACTCGGGAAAAATATTTAGAAAATTGTATCAGAATGGGAAAGTTGTAACACAGATGCCTACTTTTTTCTTTTGTTAGTTATCAGTACTGTTTATAAATACTATTTTCATTCAGAAGAGACATCCCATACACATATAGCTTGACAAATACAGTCAGCAAGCTGAAATGCTTAAAATAAAAATTATGTTTGCAATTCAGCCATTCTGTACTTGCTGAACTATATGAGTAAGCAAAGAAGGCTTTCTGTCAAGAAAAGCGATCACTTTCTAGAAAAGTTATTTTAGAAAGAAAATATTTAGTTCCCTTTAATCCTATGGTTCCCCTCACCGCTCCTTCCAAAAATGATTTACCACGTTGCTAGATGTGTTTCACGTGTGGAGAACAAATCAGCTATTTAATTTATGTGACTCATTTCTCCGAGAGCTTTGGAAGACTAGGGTGTGGCTGTACCATTTCTTTTGTACATCTGTGCTACATACATCTTCTAAATGTACACAAGAATGTCAACTGCTTATCTGGTCGATCATTTTTATTTCTGTGATATAAACTTAGAAGAGCTATGTAATGTCAAAAAAGAAGCAATGGACCTTTCAGACAGCGTGCTCACCAGCAACGGAGTTAAGATAGGGAAGAAAACTAAAGATTTCAGCAGTAGTTTCATGTTGTAAGTGAGCTAGCCACTGCCAGAAGAGGCAGAGCCCACTCTGCTCTCACCACCCACCACTTCCCAGACACTGTTTCCACCTTTCTTTTTACAAAAAGTGGAATCTTGTATTTTGAGGAGTTAAGAAATCCACTGGGCTTAGCTGCTTGCTGTATCAAAAACTGTGAGAGAAATCTGGCAACTGACAGACCAAATTTCTATCATTTTTATACTGATAGTACACATGGGCGTTACATGTCAAATTACCGAGGCACATAACCAGTGGAATTTAACCACTGTATTCGTTTGTGGCCGTGCAGTAACATAAACCGGTGTGCACATCCATGCTAAAATAAGCAATAATCGGTAGGGCAGAGCATTTCTCGCATCTCCTATCTGGGGTCAGTCACACTTTTCACAGCCACCTGAAAAAGTCTGGAGTATACGTGAGGCCAGAAAAATCAGAGCCCAGCAGGTGGGGGGCTCCTGGCCTGCCGGGAGGTCAAAGAAGTCGCTCTCTCTGCCAACAGATCTCCATGCTTCTTCTAACACGACTGGGGCAGGAGACCAGAAAGAAAAGCCCCTGAGACACGCACTGAACGGCTTTAGGTATGGAGAAAGTCAAGGTGATCCATGTGAGGCTAGAAGGTGAGCAAGACCATCACTAGCCTATGCTGGCAAGCAAATGCAGTAATAAATAATGAAAACAAAAGGGACACAGGCACAGACATCTGACAGCGTGGAGCTGCAACTGCTATGTGCAGGGGCCAAGCCACCAGCCTGGACCTAGCACGCACGTTGGCTAGTTGGAGCAAGCATCCCGTTTCCCTGGGTCCCTGCATAAGAAAGGATAAAAATAAATAAATAAATAAATAGTTCTTTAAAAATAATTAGTTATTACTATCTTTAGACATCGAAGGAGTTAAGAACGGATGAACGTTGTGTAAAATGTAACTGAGGATGCTTTTCCTTACCTGCTTGAATGTTAATTTGAACCAAGAACTTGCTGTCACAGCACAGCTTGAACTGCTCGAGGGTAACTTTCAAAAGAACAGAGGACCAAGTAGAGGCAGAAGCATAGTGAACCTGTCCCACCCATCCACCTCCACTAATTAGGTCAAACTGGATGAAGAACGTGGCAAATGGGTAACTCGGATACTACCGTTCTGTCAGCTAAATCAATCCTATTCAGCGTGGTGAGAATTGATTACATGCAAGACAACTGATGGATCTGTAGCCAGTTACAAATTTGACATACTCCACAAAAAGCTCATGAAAGCTTAGATAATACTGAAGAATCGAAAACATCTATTGTAACACTGAGGGATGCACTCAAACAGCTGAATAGTCTACCCGATTTCTGGCTTGTAATGTGGATTTAAAAAATGAAGCTCTACCATGTAAAGGTGTTCAATGAATGTTCAGCAGAAGTTGCTCATAACTCTGTCTAAGAGATATAGATGTAGATATATATGGAGCTCATTCTCTCACTTTTCAAGCTTACAATTTACTTATTCACATTAGAGTTATACGAAAGCATGGCTTACAAGATGTATTAAGCCTAAAATCATTCAACAGAGGATATTTTCCCATGTACGCCACCATTGTAGAGCAAGCTGTAATAACCTGTGCAAAGCCTGTGTCGCCAAAAAGCAAAACAAAAAAACCCTGTGAGCAACAGAACTCCACTAAATCCGAGTAAATGAAAGCAACGCCATTTGCTACATGATGACTTGTCAAAAATTGCTGACCCACCGAGACAGGACACGCAGAGATCTTTCTACAATACTGAATATAAAAATCAGCTTTTCACTAAGAATTTTGAAGTCAGTAAGGTAACCAGAACTCCCAACATAGACCAAGAAACAGGTGCTGAAACATACATCAGTGACAGAAGCATGGAGGGTAGACTTTCCTGTCACGAAGATTATTTGGACTTAGCAATGACATCAGTAGGGAAGCCAGAGCTCAGGGTATACAACAATTACACAATAACTCACGAGCAAAGGATTACAGGAATGTAACTGAACGCACGAGCGACAGAGCTGCATATCTGTTTTTGTCTTGCTCTCAGCAAATGAACAGATTTAATATTTTGAATTGAATTTGTGAAGATAATGTGGCAAACTACCAAGGTTTTAGCTAGGGAAGAAGATCAAAAACTTAAAAAGCTGAAACACTGAGTGAACTCACTGATAAACCATTTCAAGCTTTACCCTTAAATCTTACTGGAATCGAGCTGATCTTTCAAAAACCCTAATCCTCCCTTCTCCTGACTCTCAGAATTCCAGATACTTATAAGGAAGGAAATAAAATCAAATTAATGCAGAGAATTTGTCGTACTCTTTCTGCCCAGCACCAAGAGGAATGACGCTGTGATTTTCAGGGCCATCCAGCTGGCATGGTGGTTATGAACATCCATCAATTCGAACTAGCCCCAAATTAAGAGAATTCTTGCACTGTAACAGAAAAACAAAGATAAGCTAATGGAAAGACAGCTCAGACTCTCTGACCTTGTTTGCATATATTTTTGAAGTACTGGACTTTCAAAGGAATTCCGAACTGCCAATGTAGTGAAATCTAAATACGATAAGCATTGTAAGGCTTCCTCTTCTACAGTCTCATGTAACGCCATCACATAAAGACACTTAAGCATTGTACTTCAATGAATCTAGTCATATATTTAAGCGTTCTGCTGAACTGAAGGTTAGAGCACTCTGTTTTATCAAAACAAACCCTAAATACTCAAATATTATCATTAATCCATACGCAACACTCAAAGGAGATCAATAATTGAAAGAAAGGAGCAACCACCTGCAGGGAAAAGCAACTCACTCAGCCCTTTAAACTGTTATAGAAATACTAAGAATGGGCAAAACAGAAGGAGTGAAAAGGAGCATTAGGTATTCCTAATGGGGCAAGAAGTCAAGATATCAAATTTAGGGCAAAGTGCCAATTTTAAAAGTAAAACTGTTTTACTATAATGCTCTGAGAACATTTTTCCTTTCTTTCTTTCTTTCTTTTTTTTTTTTTTAAAGAGGAGCAGTAGAAATAAAGTCTGTTTAATGAATGTTTTCTGCATCAGCAGCAGTCTACACAAAGCCTAGGAGGTAAGTAGGATGTGGTTTCTTCCATGGTCGACACCACCAAGTTTTCAGAGCAAATTTGGTTTTTAGTTACTAAACTTCAAGTTTCCAGGTAATCACCTGAAACGACACGAAGCAAAAGAAACAGTCAAGGATGATACAGTCAAATAGAACTTTGAGTGTCAAAACGTCAGAGAAAAGTAACAGGTTTACAGCTGGCTAATTTATGTCCAAGATAGAGCTAAGTTATAATAAGCTTTTCTTTCCCCGTTTAAATAATTTAATGACCTGCAATACCAAAATACCGAGTGCTGTTTACATGACTGATTATGGCAAGAATTAATGCTTCTTTATTAACATTTACCAGCAACACTACCATTACAAAAAAGCTACTATTTAAGTAAAGAAAAATACTTTTCTTTTCAGCATTCACTATATCCAAGTGCCATCTTGTTCTTTATTTACTCCCAGGAGAATTTCTCTTGAATGTAGATTGGTTAACAAATCACTGGGAAAAAAAATACTTTGGAGAAGAATGCCTTAAACCTATTTCAAACTAGTGTGTGAAAGAACAAGAAAACATGTTTCTAAGATTCCAGTAAATTGAAAAGTAAACTTGAGGAGATACAGAAGTAGCAACTATTTGCAACTCAAGAAAGTTTTAAAATTATTATATACTGGAACTGCATATCTCTGAATCAAATTTGACAACATTTTTCTATTTGCTAACACAGTGATAAGAAATTAAAATGCATAACATAGTACCACTAAAATTAGGATGTCACTTAAGCATCATGGATTTAATTTTACGAACAGGTTCAAGTTCTCCTATATGGTTTCAGACAAGCCAGCAGTCTCTTTAGCATTTCAACAACTGTAATCATTTAAAATCCAAGAAAATTACACATTCAAGCTTGGCACTATTTTAAAGCAGATATCTTGCTATGAGAGGGAAAGTTGGGGTGGATAAAATTTTAGTGTATAGAATGTATTTTATTTACTTCTTAAGACCAAGATAAATGCTGCTTCTATTCAAAGAACATGTAAGAATATAATGGTGAGATTTTATTAATTACAAAATGAAGTAAAAACTATAAAGCAAGGCACATTTAATTGAAAATGACAGAATGCATTACTGATTAGCATGAAAGAACTCAGATTTCCTAATTAAATTTGGAAAGTTTAGGAAATTAGAAAAATATGTTTATCACGTGAAAGCTGAGAACAAGACACAGCAAATAAATACGTATTAGACTTGAACCTTTGACAGAAGTAGTTGACTGCAGTTAATATGCAGTGTTAGTCTGTTAAGTCAAGGAAAGCCAATTTTTAAAATGAGACAGATAAAACACACAGGGAAGTCTGTGTGTTAGCCCAACCCTGAGA